AAATTGGTTAACGGCCTCGGCGGGAGCGGCCTCGCCATGCCGGTGGAGGTCGTGCAGTTCTGTTGGAAATACAACTTGGTGAGGCTTCAAGATCTGTTCAAGGACGAAGGTTGCGAGGCCAAGCTTCGATTGGACGCCGATGGAAAGCCGTACGTTACTGATAATTCGAATTACATTGTGGATTTGTATTTCCAGTCTCCGATCAAGGACGGATTAGCCGCCGGAAAAGAGATCTCGGCGTTCGAAGGAGTGGTGGAGCACGGATTGTTCTTGGACATGGCCACCGCCGTGATCATCGCCGGAAAAGATGGAATCGACATCAAGACCAAATGATTTTCCATTTCCATTTCCTTTCCTCCATTAGTGAGTTTCTGAAAACTGCTCAATTCCTCCTCTGCCTTCTTCTCCTCCATAAAATATATTAGGGCTTTGAATTGAAACTATTTTTGTTCATGTTTTCTTGGTGATAATGAGCTTGATTTCATCTCTGTATTATAAGAAATCTTGTGCAAATTTTTGCTGATGATCTGCTGAATCTGGGAAGATGTACATTGTCACATGTGGAAGCTGTGAAAGTGTCAAATGTTCATATTTTCCATTGAAGGATATATAATGGCCGAGTACTCATCAAATAGTTGAATAACCTTTAAATTATACCTTATATATACATATATTTTTTTTGCTCCTCATTTTGATTCTCATAGTTTTTGTTCATTTTAGTCGATTTTGATTGATGTGATTTTAAAAAGTGATCATTTTGAGTGACATTTACAAAATTTTAACATAACTTTTTTACACAATATAAACTCTTTGATATAATTTTATTAAAGAAATTTTGTGAGTGAAAGTGTTATTTTACTAACATTTTTTTATCGAAAACAATAAGATAGAAATGAAGAAATTGAATTAGTTGAGCAGTCAAGTCACTTTACTCATTTTCGTGAGACATAGGTTTAATCCAACGTGTCCGTGCTCAAAAAATACATATTATATATATATAAATATTTAAAATTA